TTGGTTTACACTATTTTCAAGCTTTTAACACCATGAGCCATATTCTGCCAGGTGTGGCCCTAGGCAGGGGCCCCTTACCATGTGATGGGAGGTGCTACCACGGCTAGGCAGCTACTCACCATCAGGCCACAGAAGAGCCTCTTGGACCTGGGGAAGGACCTGTGAGACTCTGTGAAGAGGAAAAGTCAGTTTTGAATCAAACCCATTTTATAAATAAGAAAAATTAGAAAACTCTTCTCAGAAGGTGGTGGGGGTTGACGAGGGGGACCCAGGGGCACCTAAAGGCTAATTCTTGCTAGAGTCATTTACATTTTAACTTAAATTTTCTAATGTTGTGAATAGACTTAATTATCTGTTCACAACTTTTAAAAATGGCTAAACATGGCTGAGCGTGGTGGCTCATGCCAAAATCCCAGCACCTTGGGAGGACGAGGCGGGTGTATCACTGAGGATAGGATTTTGATACCAGCCTGGCTGATATGTGAAACTCCATCTCTACTAAGAAATACAAAAATCAGTCAGGTGTGGTGGCAGGCGCTTGTAATCCCAACTACTCAGGAGAGGCTGAGGCAGAAAAATCGCTTGAACCTGGGAGGTGGAGGTTGCAGTGAGCCCAGATTTCACTACTGCACTCCAGCCTGGGTGATAGAGTGAGACCCGTCTCAAAAAAGAAAAAAAGAAAAAAAGAAAATAAAAAAAGCAATGGCTAAACATTATTTTTAAAATCAAAACCATTTCAAAGCCCTTACTTCACTGGATTCTCAGCCAGGGCTGCCCCCAGAGCAGAAGGCAGCTGTGGGAAGCAGAGGGGTGGCTCCACCTCCACCTGGAAGATTCCTGCTCAGATCCTGGGTCACCTGCCCCACTGATGATGCCCCAGCTGCTCCTGCTGGGAAGCCGAACCCAGAACCCCCTCAGGTCTGGTCCCCACTCCACCCCCAGCACCCCTAGTGCGGTCATGCGGGAGGATGGGGCCCGAGGCTGCAGGGGCGGAAGCAGGTGGGTCAAGGCTCACTTCGCCCGCCTGCAGGTGTTGGTCTTTGTTTTTTAAACCAAACAGAGCAGATAGACGCAAGGAAGCAAAAATGACTCAAACTCTGGGTGAGCCAGAGTCTGTGGAGGCGGCAGCTCTCCCAGCACTGGGGACATGCCCAAGGCTGGCTTTGGGGTCAAAGAATAATCAAAGATGACACTTTGGGGCTGCCCTCTCCCCAGCCCTCCTGGGCAAAGTTGGTGCATCCGAGGAGTCAACCTCTGACACCCGACCGCTACTGGCCTTGGTGCCGGGACCCGAAAGGGTGAGAGGACACAGGGAGGGGTGTGGAGGGGGAGAGCAGCCGGACTCTGCCCAAGCAATTTAGGCGCCTGCCTCATCTGTGGTCCCCCACACCTCCAGCTCACCGAGCAGTGGAACAGCCCCTGGAAATCCCCAGGGAGATGGGGCCCAGGGATTTCGGTGAGGCCCTGCGCCCAGGCTAGCTGCGCCCCACCTGAGGGAAGAGTCACTCCAGTCCCTCTGGGCTGGTCCATGTGCAACCACGGTAGGACACAGGTCATCTCCATTGAAACAAAGAGGGAGGAAGGGTGTGCCTCCCTGCTCCTTCCCCACCCTCGCAGGGAGGGGCGGTTGCCCTTAGCAACGGGATGCCCACGTGGGATACTGGAAGTCTCAGCCTACCCCACCCCACCCCTCCAGGCCCGGTTTCTCCTGGGTGCAAAGGGTTACTTCAGAGCTGTCGGGCCTCCAGAGCAGCACATTAAATGTCTTGGAAACTAGGAGATGTGGCACTGCTGTACAATGGTCAGGAATAGCCATCCTGTCCTCCTGACCTAGGGAAAACCAACTTCTGTTTGGAAGGAGCACAGGGTGGCGCCTGGCCTTTGGAGTCAGGAAGAACCAGCCTTAAGTAGTAGAACTGCCTGACCTCCAGCTTGTCACTTCAGCTCCCAGGTCCGTTCTTGATTTGGGTTGACTGGGTGGGGCACATAAGAAGCTGCGTTCATTCTTTCTTGCCCCTCAGGCATCCTGTGCTCTCAGGGTGCTGGGCGTTGTTTCAGGTCCCAGTACACAGCACAGAGGGAAGAGAGTGCCTGATAGCATGGTGATTGGTCTTAGTGGGGACAGCTAGACACTAAACCAGGAGTTCTGTCACGCCAGTCGGTGATAAATTCACTTGAAGAAATTTCCACTTCCAGGCAAGGTAGAACAGATGCACCTGTCCCCATGCCCTATACTAAGGACAGTTAAAATCCCTGTATATTTCCCTGGATATCACACATACGTATATAACTACGTACGTAAATGTGTATATATATATATCAAACACTAAAAGGTGGAGAGAAGAAGGCAGACCAGGTAGGGACCTTGGGACCTGAGGAATGACATGACAGGAGTTCCCTGGATTTTCTTTCTGCCTCATATATCTGTGACTGTGTGCTGGAGAAGCCAGCAACATGAAACACCAAAAGGCACAGACAAAAAACAACAACAAACCCAACAAGCTGGCCCTCAGCCAAAATAGCTAGGCAAGAAGAAGAAATAAAAGGTATCCAAATTGGAAAGGAAGAAGCTAAATTGTCCCTGTTTACAGATGACGTGATCTTAAAGAAAACCCTAAAGATTCCACCAACAAGCTGTTAAAATAAATGAAATCAGTAAAGTTGCAGGATATAAAACTAACATACAACAATCTGTAGCATTTCTATACCCTAACAAAGAAATCAAGAAAACAATCTCATTTACAATAGCTACAAAAAATACTTGCGAATAAATCTAACCAAGGAAGTGAAAGATCTGTATGCTGAAAACTATAAAACATTTGTGAAAGAAATTGAAGATACAAATAATTAGAAAGTTATCCCATATCTGAGATCAGGTGCCAAAAAAAAGACATCCCATGTTCATGAATTGGAAGAATTAATATTGTTAAACTGTCCATACAACCTCAAACAATCTGCAGATTTAATGCAATCCCTATCAAAATTTCATTGACATCTTTCACCAAAATAAATAAAATAATCCTAAAATTCGTATGAGGGAGTAACACCCGCTCCACAGTGGCCAAAGCACTGTCAGGTGCCACACGCAGCCTGTAGGACATGTGGACTGCAGTACTGGCCCCACCTAAAGTACCGTAGAGGCCCAAGAGACATGAGCCAGGGCCATTTTAACTGTCAGTAATGGCCACAAAGACCCTTAAATAGCCAAAGCAATCTTAAGCTAAGAGCAAAGCTGGAGACAATATATACTTCAAAATATACTACAAAGCTGTAATAATCAAAACAGCATGGGATTGGCATAAAAACAAACAGACCAAAGGAACAGAGAGCCCAGAAGTGAATCCAGGCATTTACAGTCAACTGATTTTTGACAGAAATGCCAAGAAACACAATGGAGAAACGATAGTCTCTTCAATAAATGATGTTGGGGCCAGGTGCAGTGGCTCATGCTTATAATCCTAGCACTTTGGGATGCCAAGGTGGAAGGACCACTTAAGGCCTTCCTCCAGGCTCCGGAAGAGACCTCCTCCATGATCCCTTGTTTAAGGGGAAGCTTCCTCAGGACCTCACTGTGGGGGCTGAAGGTGGCCGCCCCTCCAGGAACTTATGCCCCAGGCACTGAATTCCAGCTGCCTAAGTCTGTGTGCATGCATCTGTGTTTCTGTGCATGTCTGCATGTCTATGTATCTGTGTGTGTGCATGTCTGCATGTCTATGTGTCTGTGTGTCTGTGTGTTTGCATGCATGTCTGTGTGTCTGTGTGGTCTTATGTGTCTGTCTGTGCACTTCTGTATGTCTTTCTCTGTGCATTTTTGCATGTGTCTCCGTGTGTCTCTGTGCATGTCTGTCTATATGTGCGTGTCTTTGTATCTGTGTCTGTGTGTGTCTGCATGCATGTCATTCTGTGTGTGTCTTTCTGTGTATGGCTGTGTGTCTGTGTCTCTGTGTGTGTTTCTGTGTATCTGTGTATGTAATGGTGCGTCTCTGTGGCAGGAAGAGGTGTGTGCGATTGTGTGTCTGTGTCTTTGTCTGTGTGTGTAATGGTGTGTCTCTGTGGAAGGGAGGGGGTGTGATTGTGTGTCTCTGTGTGTCTTTCTGTGTACATCTGTGTATGTAACAGTGTGTCTCTGTGGTGGGGAGGGGGGTGTATGTGATTGTGTGTCTGTGTGTGTCTTTCTATGTGTGTGTGTAATGGTGTGTCTCTGTGGTGGGGAGGGGGTGTGTGTAATTGTGTGTCTGTGTGTGTCTGTGTATGTGTGTGTAATGATGTGTCTCTGTGGCGGAAAGGGGGTATGTGTGATTGTGTGTCTGTGTGTGTCTGTGTGTGTAATGGTTTGTCTCTGTGGGAGGGAGGAGGTGTGTGTGATTTTGTGTCTGTGTCTTTCTGTGTGTGTCTGTGTATGTAATGGTGTGTCTCTGTGGCAGGGAGGGGGTGTGTGATTGTGTATCTGTGTATGTAACAGTGTGTCTCTGTGGTGGGGAGGGAATGTGTGTGATTCTGTCTGTGCGTGACTTTCTGTGTCTGTGTATGTAATGGTGTGTTTCTGTGGCAGGGAGGGGGTGTGTGTGATTGTGTGTCTGTGTGTGTCTTTCTGTGTGTATGTATGTAATGGTGTGTCTCTGTGGCAGGGAGGGGGTGTGTGTGATTTTGCGTTTGTGTGTGTCTGTGTATGTAATGGTGTGTCTCTGTGACGGGGGGTGTGTGATTGTGTATCTGTGTATGTAACACTGTGTCTCTGTGGTGGGGAGGGAATGTGTGTGATTGTGTCCATGTGTGTCTTTCTGTGTGTATGTATGTAATGGTGTGTCTCTGTGGCAGGGAGGGGGTGTGTGTGATTGTGTGTCTGTGTGTGCCTGTGTATGCAATGGTGTGTCTCTGTGGTGGGGAGGGGTATGTGTGATTGTGTGTCTGTGTATGTAATGGTGTGTCTCTGTGGCGGGGAGGGAATGTGTGATCGTGTGTCTGTGTGTCTTTCTGTGTGTGTCCGTGTATGTAATGATGTGTCTCTGTGGCGGGAAGGGGGTGTGTGTGATTTGAGGTGGGGGTGAGACCTAGGCTTCAGTTACTCGCAACAGGACAGACAAAGGAAGCAGCGTTTACCCGTTCCGCTAAAACCAAGGGCGGGAGGGGGGCTGCCGGCAGCCCTCCCAGAGCCCCTGGCAGCCGCTCACGGGTTCCGGACCGCCTGGTGGTTCTTGGGCACCGCCGCGAACCTCAGCTTCCTCAGGACCGCAGGCCAGCCCAGCAGCTGCTGGTCCCACAGGTACTCGGGGGAGAGCACCTTGGTGGGTTTGTGGCGCAGCAGGTACTTGTTCAGGTGGCTCTCGTCATGCCACACGGCCTCGATGCCGTTGGCCTGGTCGACCATCATGGCCTGGTGGCAGGCCCTGGTGAGCCGCTGCACCTCCTGCACCGACCCCCCGAAGAACCCCCCCAAGTAGTAGAAATCACCCTCGTCCTTGGGGATGTAGGCCTGGGACTGGGGCCGGCGCTCGTAGGTGAAGGCCTCCCGGCTGCTTCCATAGAAGGCAGGGTGCAGGGTGCCGAACAGTGGAGTCAGGATCTCCACGCCCACGTGGTCACGGAACTCCATGTCCACGTCCACACACACCAGGTAATCCACCTCGCTGAGGAAGCGCCGCTCGCAGAAGTCGCTGATCATCTCCATGCGGCGCATGGACACGTCCTGCCAGCGCTTATAGGCGCGCACCCCAAGCACCGACAGCTGCCGACCGGTCCCCAGCGCCACGCGCGGCACCGCAGCCGGCTGGTCGGTGAAGACGTAGTAGTGGACCCGGTGGCCCACCATGAAATGCTTCTCCGCCGTCTCCAGGAACAGCTTCAGGAAGGTCACGTATCTGCAAGGCAGGCGAACCAGGGGCTGGGGGAGCAGCCAGCCTTGTGCCCCTGGGCTGCAGGAGGCCCGCCCTGCGTGCACCCACCAGCGGCCATTGGAAGGCTCAGAGCAGTAGATGCACCACGTTCTCCTGCCCTGTCCTGAGCGACTGAGCACCACGTTCTCCTGCCCTGTCCTGTCCTCGGGCTCCGACTCACTTCATCCTCTTCTCAGTGATGGAGGGACCACCAGCACCCGCTCTTAGTAAGGAGGGCCGAGGGCAGGCGTCTGGAGGCTGGTAGCAGGCTGCAGGCTGGCGCCCGCTTACTCTCCCTCAGCCTGGCCTGAGCCATGCCTCCCCACAGAGCTGCCACTCTTACGGCCGGGCCGGCCACGTGCCCCCTCATTATAAGCTGCGCTGGAGGCCCCCACAGGCCGGCCTCTGCACCCTAGAGCTTCCCCCTCCCAGGCTTGAACTGCAGGTATTCCTAAGAGTAGGTCATTCCTGGACTCCCCACTGGATCAGGAACCAGGCCTACCATGTGGGGGAAGGGAAGAAGGTGAACCCTGAAATAATAGGGGTGAGCAAGGGTTTGTTGAGGCCGCAAACCCCGAGTCCATGGTAGACCCTCTAGGCCCAAGTCAGGTGCCTCCCCCACCCCAGGACATTTTCTCCAACTGCCTCAGATGGCGGGTCCCTCCTTGAGGTCCCCCAGGGCCACCACCGTGGGGATGGGGGATCTCCCATCATTCAGCAAGTGTGCCCCTGAGGCCCCGAGTTTATGGAACAGGCATCGTGGCTGCTTTGCCCCAGCTGGCTCATTGGCAAACCACTCACAAGGGGTTTTACGGACCCGGCGAGCCCACGTGAGCTCAGTAAGATGCTGCGTGAATGAACTTTCCCATCTACCCTCTGGGAGGACAAGGCTGGCCGCCGCCCCACTCTGTCTTGAACACAAGGGGAGTCCGTGGTCACTTGTCACTGCCTGGGTCTCTGCCCCCAGCCACCTCACTGACTTACTTTTTGATGGCAAACACCTCACTGACTTACTTTTTGATGGCAAACACAGTTAACCCAATGGTGGTGTTCTGGAGCCTGAACTGCTCGTTGAGGATGTCGATGTTGAACGTGCCCTCCCAGACAATGGGAGCCAGCCAAGGGGTCACGACAAGGACGTCCTTCCTACTGCACATGGAGAGAGACGTGGGGTCACATGGAGCTGGCAGGGTGCCACCCACCTGTGCCTCTGGCACACAGCCATTCCCACTTGGAAACTCCACTCAGCTTCCGCCTCCTTTGACCACCTTTCCAGAGGCAGCCACCCTTCCCCAGGAAACCAGCCAGAGGCAAATGCGACTCCAACTGGGCGAATCATTCCCAGCCCTCCCTCAACATTGGACCTGCCGCAACACAGAGGAAGCTGAGCTTTGCTGGCAGACATAGGAACCACCCCTCCCCCGCACCCTCCCCCCGCTGCCCCTCCCCAGGAAGGAGGTACCTATCAGGCCTTTGCAGGGGCTTTGGTGAGCAAAGGGACAGGAAACAAGAGACACAAGTCAAAGAAAGCAAAGGGAAAGAGGACAGCCATGTGGGCCTCCGAATTCAGATGTCAGGAGAACCTGAGAGGAGAGAATGGCAAAGCAGCCCCAACTGACATTTGCATCAAGGAAACCGCCCTCTAATACCTTCAGAACAGCCCCTTGAGCTGCGTTCAGTCTCAGCTTCAGTAACTTTACTCACCAGGGTGTCAGCACCTTTGGCTGGGGATAGACCATCCTGCAAGCACAAAGTGCCATCACGTGAGTTTGCGTGGAAAGCGTGGGATGCAGGTAAGCAGGGGGTGTGCATAGCTGCTGAACTGTGACTGGGCGTCAACCCTCCCGCCAAGGCCACACTCTCGGGCTGGAATCGCTGTGGCTGCTCGGGGGCTGTGTCAACTCATAATCCCAGGACCTCGGGGAAGGGCCGAAGCTCAGAGTCTCTGGTTCAGCACTTGTAAACTGGCAAGAGGGACCAAGTGTCCTCAGGGGCCACTGCTTTGCACTTAAGGCTGGGAGGGACGTAAGGGGTTGTGTCTTAATTCACTGTGGGCAGACACGAGGCTGGGTGTGTGGCCTCTGTCCCTTGTTGTTCCCAGGGAAAGGCCCTGAGATGTGCAGACTGCCCCACCTGGGCCCGAAGCCTGCTGGGCCTCCTTGTGGGCTGGTGGCTTCCAGAGCCCGGCCTCCTCTCTGAGAAGTGGGGGAGTACCACCTGCTCCACGGTGGCACGAAGCACTGTCAGGTGCCACACGCAGCCTGTGGGGACGTGTGCGCCGCAGTGCTGTCCCCACCTAAAGTACTGTAGAGGGCCAGGAGGCATGAGCCAGGGCCATTTCAACTGTCAGTAATGGCCGCAATTTGAATGTCCAAGATGGCCTTTGAAAGCACGGAGTCAGCAGAAAACAGGAAGGAAATTCTCACACTTGGTACTGTGGACTGTGGGTGGACTGTGAGGACATCACGCTCAGTGATTTGAACCCATTATAAAAAGACAAGTACCGTTGATTCCACTTATAAAAGGAAGTTCAAGTAGTCAGACTCGTAAGAACAGACCATGGAATGGTGAGCTGGGGCAGGGGAAACGGAGTTGTTATTTTATGGGGACACAGCTTCAGTTATGCAAGATGAAAAGAGTTCTAGAGATGGATGGTGGTGATGGCTGCACAGCGATGTGAATGGACTTAACACTACTGAACACTCCAAAATGACGAAGATGGCAAATTTTATGTTAAGTGTATTTTACCACAATTTAAAAAAAAATCAAAAGCAGTGTGGCCAGCTTGGGATTGATTGCCTAGACTTTCTCAGGTTAGCACTGATATAGGCCCACATCTTGGGAAACGGGCCCCCAAGGCCCCAGACAGAACAGACCAGCTCGTCATCCTCTTTAAAAGCCAATTTGAAGGCCAGGTGCAGGGGCTCACGCCTGTAATCTCAGCACTTTGGGAGGCCGAGGCAGGCGGACCATTTGAAGTCAGGCGTTCAAGACTAGTCTGGCCAACGTGGTGAAATGCTGTCTCTGCTAAAAATACAAAAATTAGCCAGGTGTGGTGGTGGGCGCCTGTAATCCCAGTTACTCGGGAGGCTGAGGCAGGAAAACCACTTGAGCCCAGGAGACAGAGGTTGCAGTGGGCAGAGATGGTGCCACTGCACTCCAGCCTGGGCAACAGAGTGAGACTCCATCACACACACATACACAAAAGCCAGCAACACGCAGCTGGTCAAAACTGAAGCTCCAGTTCCATCGTGCTCTCTGAGTAGCTGCAGGACGAGGGCCAAGTCAGGGCAGAGATTGGGGAACGAACAGCCTCCTCCCTCAGAGCCACAGGAGGAAAGAGGACCTGCCCCAGCTTGCACATGCTTCTGTCCACACGCACACATGTGCCAGGGCTGCAGGACAATTCTGTGACATGGGAGGCACTGACATTATACCTTGGCAATGAGACACGCTGCAGACCGTCTGGTTCCCTAAAAGCCATGCTGTAGAATGAGAACACAGGAGATGAAGTTTATTCCAGGAGCAGGATTTAGGGCACAAGTGCATGGAAGCCAGCTGAGGGTCCCAGTGGAAGGGACATAGCGTCAGCCTGGAGTGTGGAGCAGAGTCCACCAGAAACAGTCACAGAACAGCCATCACTGTGGTGATGGGCCTGGCATGGGCCCATATGCCAGACCCTGTAATGGCCACCGCTGCAGTCTGAGGTCTACGTTCGTGGAGCCTCACAGCCCACACATTCACCAGACATGTTGAAGCCAAGGCCGGGCAGCGTGGAGTCTCAGAACATGTCTGCAAACCATGAGGCTCCCTCCCATCAACAGATGGGGTCTGATATTCCGTGTTTCTAAGAAATAAAATGCAGCAGAAGTGATGCTGGGTGACTTGTGAAGCCAGGCCCTAAAAGGCGATCTGGTTTCTGTCTCATCTTTTTTGGGATGTTGGTCTTGGAGCCTCCCAACAAAGCTGAGCAGGAGCCCAGGCCCCGGAGAGAGGCCCTAAGTAGGTGTCTCAGCTGAGAGCCAGCATCAACTGCCAGAGACACAGGGCAGTCTTTGCAATGACCCCAGCCACCGTCTGCCAATGCCTGCTGAGGCCCCAAAGTGAACCACCCAGCTGAGCCCAGTCCGCCCCAGGAGGCCCAGGGAAAGATAGTAATCAATGATTGTGATTGCTTTCCATGGATGGGGTGGTGTGTTCTGCAGCCATGGATCACTGACACAAGTGGAAATTAGCAGACACGGCAGGGGAGAGACAAGAGTGGTCCCAGCAGAGGCCATAGCAGAGGCAAAGGCCTGGAGTCACGACAGCACGGCAGGTGGATGAGTGACAAGCCACTTTGGCTGGAGCATAGAGGGCGAGGGCAAAGGAGGGAGAGATGAGGCTGGGGAGGTCAGGAAGGCGGGATCAGACCATGAAGAACCTCCTACCTTATATTCTGGAAAGATCACTCCAGCTGCTGTGAGAAGGGGGACAGGGCTGACGGGGATGGGGAGACAAGTCTGAGGCTGTTGCAGAGATGAGGGCAGTCCCACCAGACCCCTGGAGCAGGACATCGAAGGCAGAGAGGCCAGTGGGCATGTGAGCTGCTGAAGAGCAGGGCTGGCAGGATTTGGGAACCCAGTGTAGGGGTGAGGGCAAAGGGAGAATTGAGGATGGCTGGTGGAAGGTGACTCGGGAGGCGGGGTGAGGGCAGGGAGCAGAGACTGTGTGTGGTAACTCTGGGTAAGCCCGGAGTTGGGGACTGGAGGTCAGAAGGGAGGTCAAGGCTGACTCCAGAGATGTGGAGGCAGACGTATCCAGGTGACCCTTCAAGGCCACAGAGTTGACCACATCTATGCTGGGCAGAGCATAGAGAGGGGGCCTAGGCCTACCCATGTGTGTGCCCAGAAGAGGGAGGGGGAGTTCCCAGAGTGGGACCCCAGCCCACAGCCAGCACCCCGGCCAGCATGGACGCTCCACCTACCCTTCCCTGCACTCACCAGAACCCCCGTTCCAGGCTTCCTGGCATTAGGCTTCTGGGGCTTAGGACCCCGTAACTGCAGGAAGGAATTGTGCCAAGACTCAGGACACAGAACCAAGACTGCCTGTTCATCCCTTCCTCCAAAAAGCGCATGGTGTGGCCAGCAGCATGAGCACAGGAGTTCCTGGTGAAGCTGCAAGGCCTCGAGGCAGGCAGGGCAAGTTCTCAGCAAAGCTCAGGCGCCTCGCCACGTCCCACACTGGGAGGTGGGTAGGAGGGTAGTCCCTGGGATATTGCTCATGGATGGGCACCTGCAGGAGCGGCGGAGCCCCACCCCGCGCCACCCGTGCGTTGGTCAGTGTAGTCCCTAAGGCCACCTCAGGCAGTGTTTCCAGGCCATATCCACAGATGCCCCAGTAGAGAGGGCAGGTGACTTCATTCTGTGGTTCTGGGGTCTTCTGTGTCTGGAGGCGACTAACAGCTTGGGTCCCAGAATTGCCTTCCCCATCGCCAGCCACACAACTCTGGGCAAGAGGCTTGCTCTCCTAGCCCCAGACTCCCCACTCAGGAAAATTTTAAATGGGAGGGAGATGAGCCCGTTGCCCAGGTGAGGCTTAAATAAGGGAGCAAGTAAACACAACCTCCACCAGAGCTGGACGCGGGCAGCAACTGTCCTTAGGACCCTGATGACTGTAATATTTGGGGGACTCAGGGGGGCCCCATGGGTCTGACTGGCTGCTATGGCCACTTCTCCCCAAACCAGGCCAGCCTCGATGGTCAAATGTGTCTTACCCAAACAAGACCAAGACCAGCACCATTAAGAAAAGGATCATAGGTAGAAATATGTAGCATTTTGGTTTTCCTGGAAAACAGGAGTGGAAAAATCAGATTACTCACCTTCCTTCTCTCACCTGCCCCACTTTACCTGTCCTGTCTTGTGATTCAGGCCCCACGCCCTGTGACGGGCCTTCACCTGCCAAGACGGTCCCTCTGCCCCACAGGTGATGCTCTGAGCCCCACCTGAGCATCTCCAAACCCAGTCCAGATCCAGCCCTCCTCCCACTCAGAGAAGAGGGAGGCGGTCTGCTCCTCCCGGCTCATCAGCCCGACTGCTCCTGCAGACTCTGAGAGTCACCCCGGCTTCCCAATGACCTCCTTCCACTCAGCACCCCCTTCCCCTGGGAGACCGGAACGAACCACACTGAAATGGTACCTCGAGGTCACCGTTGAATCCACCGAGGGAGGCCAGGACAGCCTCATGGCCAGGCTGAGCCAGGAGCCCAGACCAGTTCCTGCCAGCGAGAGGAGCCACCAACTTCCCCTAGTATCTCCCTGCCCTCTCAGAGGCTCCTGCCCTGGAAACAATCATTGTCTTTCTTTTAAGGTGATTTTTATGTAATTAAAGTCGTGTACAGTAGTTCCCCCTTATCCACGCCTTCGCTTGCTGGAGTTTCTGTTACCCATGCTCAACCAAAGCCCAATAATAGGTGAGTACAGTACAGTAAAATATTTTGAGGACAGGTCTGGTGGCTCGTGCCTATAATCCCAGGACTTTGGGAGGCTGAGCCAGGAGAATTGCTGGAAGCCAGGAGTTCTAGAGCAGCCTGGGCAACATAGTGAGAACTCATTTCTGTGAAAAAAAAAATATATATATATTAGCGGGGCATAGTGGTGCACACCTCGGGTCCCAGGAGGCTGAGGTGGACTAGGAGGTGAAGGTTGCAGTAAGCCATGACTGCACCACTGCCCTCCCGCCTGGGTAGCAGAGTGATTGCTTTAAAAATAAACAAAACAGCCGGGCGTGGTGGCTCAAGCCTGTAATCCCAGCACTTTGGGAAGCCGAGACGGGTGGATCACGAGGTCAGGAGATCGAGACCATCCTGGCTAACATGGTGAAGCCCTGCCTCTACAAAAAAATACAAAAAAACTAG